GATGCCAACTTCTGTCCAACAGGCACTGTTAGCTGGCGGGCCGGCTCTGGATTTGAACCCGCCACCTTAGGTGTATGTGGCTGGCGCCCTAGCCACTTGAGCCACAGGCGCCGAGCCAGGGTTCAATTTTGAAGAGTGTAAATGGTTGATTATGACTCGGAACCCATTTTCCCATAGAAATAATGTCATATAGGTTTTCCCAGGCCAGCTATGAAAGCCCATGTAATCTATAATATAGCTGAGCTATTATACTGATGATACCGTGGAATTTAACCACTCTTTGTAGGTGTTTGTTTGGGAAAATGGTTCAAGTGAGGCTGCCAGTTCTCTTCTGCTTTAGAGCTGCAACAATAGCAGACCCCATGCAGGGGGAGACTTTTCTCCCTTGCTCTCTCTCTTTACTCCTGAATGGGCTCTGGGAGGATGCTGCAGAGTGAAAGAGCTACGGTGTCCAGAGCTCCTGGGGTAGAGTTTAGACAGTGGAGAGTAGGGGACTGCCTGCTGATGGAGGGGAACAAGAAGAGAAGGGCCCAGTGCACCCGTATTGGGGATTGGAGATAGGACAGAGTTTGAAGGAGGCTTTGTGGCTGTGCCTCCCTAGAGATTAGGAGTGGGGCATTTAGTTTAGCCATCCGAGTGACAGTGCCAGAGTAGTAGAAGGGTGGGAATGGCATTGCTTGTTTGGTGCTACGGGAGAAGGGGCTGCTGGCATCCCCGGGTGACTGGGTGATTTGTTTGAGTAGAGCCTTAGCTAAGGAGGCAACTATAGAGGTCATGCTCCTAGTGAGAGCCCGTCATTGTTCAGTTGTATGTGTCTTACTGAGGTTGATTGCATTGGGATAGATGGAGAGGGCCACCATCACTGCATGAAGAGTACAAATCGCCTGCCTTTTAGAGTGGATGCCTTTCTTCTTGCTGATTTTTCTCATGATTGTGTATCAGATCTAGGTGCAAGCTTATTTTCTATGAACAGAAAGAACGAGGAAAGTTTAGTAACCTATTTGGACAATGTTCTTTGGAATTTGGGAGAATCTACAGATAGTCTCCGAGTTACAGACATCTGATTTATGTACAACTTAGACTTGTGAACAGAGGCTAATGCAGATAATAGGTGAATGTACCTGTTCCAAATGACATACAAATTCAACTAACAACAAACCTACAGAACCTGTCTCGTTTGTAACCTAGAGACTGCCTGTAAATCTTGGAATTTTTATCAGTTAAGGTTTCACGTTAAAATTTGGACATGTACCGGCTAAGGCGCCAGCCACGTACACCTAAGGTGGCGGGTTCGAATCCCCAGCCCGGACCCGCCAAACAACAATGACGGCTGCAACCAAAAAAATAGCCGGGCGTTGTGGCGGGCGCCTGTGGTCCCAGCTACTTGGGAGGCGGAGGCAGGAGACTCGCTTGAGCCCAGGAGTTGGAGGTTGCTGTGAGCTGTAATGCCACGGCACTCTGCCCAGGGGGACAGCTTGAGGCTCTGTCTCAAAAAAAAAAAAAAAAAAAAATTTGGACATGTGTTATTACTGATAAATATGTGCTTTATGAAATCTGTTGAGCAGAGCAAGTTCAAATTTAACTTTTGGTAGAAAATGATTTTCTGTAGTACTTGGGTTTTTGAAAAATCTCACTGTGAGTATAAATTGATATAACTACTTTGGAAAACTTCTTTCCATATTCCTAAGACCTAGTAGTTCCTTTCTTGCATACGTACCCAATATAAATTTATGCACAATTTTATACATACTATATTTATCAATTTATTTATCAATAAATATAGTATGTATAAGAATAAAACTCAGCTCTACATATCACATAAGTGTTTGGTTTTTGAATTAAAATCTCTTTGAGGCCTGGCTTTATAAGCTTCTCTGAAACCCCCTTAAGGTCTTTAGAATCCACTTGCTATGTATCTGTTTTTCTCCTTCTTTGCCATAGCTAGTCAAGATTGATTAAGAAAAAGAGCCATTTGTTGTCTTTGGTCTCCATCTTTACTTTTTGTAGCTGTTCTTTCTAGGTTCTTGGCAGCTGGGAGGTTTGGGGGGGCCAAAGTGAGCTGATCTCATCCTTAAGCTATTTGATTCGAAGGCGGGTATTACCTGTTGTGGATGCTGTGTGAGCATCCCCAAACAGAGCCGCACTGCCTTCAGAGAAGTTGGTGGTACGCAGTGAATAGGTATCGTTTTAGGTTAGATTATTAAAAACTGGTTATCTTCTGTTTCTGCACTTGATCTTAGCCAAAAGGCTGAGAAGTGATGGTAATCTTCTGTTTCTGCATGCCCACCCATGAAGAAGATGGGAGTCTCAAGGACACGCGAACTCAAATTCCCATCAATGCATTAAAATAACTACCTGCCAATTCCAGATCAGAAATATATTAATATTAACATGTAAAGGCCACAAAGGAATGTTTGTCTTTTTTGCTTATAACCTACCTTTGGTTTCTGTTTTTCCATGGATATTTGTGGTTCTGGGCAGGGCAGCCAGTTACCCCATATTTTTGTCTCCTATTTGAATCACAGGAATGGTAGTATTTTCACTATGCCCAAAATTTGGATGAAAATTATAAAGGGCTGTGAAATACTAGAAATAAAAATTTGGATCACCATACTATTTTTGCCTTTCTGATTTCTTCTTCATGTTTCCTGTCAGGCAAATGATGCTTATCTTCAGATGGCTATTGGAAATGCACCTTGGCCCATTGGTGTCACTATGGTTGGTATCCATGCCAGAACTGGCCGGGAAAAGATTTTTTCCAAGCACGTCGCTCATGTTTTAAATGATGAAACTCAGCGGAAATACATTCAGGTAAGCAGTTTGGAAGGAAATACGTTCTCTGATTCCCAAAACTATGAATCTTGAGAGCCAGCAAAGAATTATTGTATATGGGAAAAAGCACGATAGGATTGAAGTCCCCTTTTATTTTTTAAATAGAGATGAGGTCTTGCCCTATTGCCCAGGCTGGAATGCAGTGGTATGATCGTAGCTTACTCTAACCTTGAATTCCTGGCTTGAGTAGTCCTCTGTCTCAACCTTCCAAGTGTCTGAGACGATAGGCCAGCAACATCAAGCCTGGCTAATTCTTAAATTATTTTGTAGAGACAGGGTATTGATACATTGCCAAACTTGTCTTGAATTTCTGGGCTCAAACCATTCTCCCCCCCGCTTGGCTTCCCATAGTGCTCGGGTTATAGGTGTGAACCTCCCTGCCCAACAACATTTTTTTTCTTTTCTTTTTTTATGGCCAGGCCTGAGTTTGAACCCACCACCTCTGGCATATGGGGCCGGCGCCCTACTCCTTTGAGTCATAGGCATTGCCCTTTTTTTTTTTTTTTAAAAAAAACAGATATATTAGCAAGTAAAATTTGAGCTTGTCTAAACAAATTTGACACATACATAAACTCTCAGATTTGAAGTTTAGTGAAGAGCAACAAAGTTCAAGTATTTTGTAATATCGCTGTTTCTTTCAAGGTAGATCTAATAACTCAACAGGTATGGAGAGTAAAGACTTGGCTTTAATGCATGTAATCATTTTATAAGTAGCATGTTACAACACTGTTTTTAGTTGTGTGAGTAGGTCTAAAGTATGTATAGTTTTTTTCTTAAAGTTACATATGCCTCACATAAACTTGTTTGCATCATTGTTGTGCCAAACTTTCCTCCTTAGTCGGGGGAAAACATCAACCATAATCTGTCTCTTGCCAAATTGTCGTAAGTCGCAGACTTTGTTTGTATAATGACTTTCTCTGGATGGTAATTCTAAAACTTGAAGATGATACTCTGGAAGTTTACTTAAAATTTAAAATTCACTTAAAATGCATAAAGTGCTTCCGATTTTGTGCCAGAGACCAGTCCTTACCATATTCATGAATTATCTTTTTGTTTGTATTTCACTTCCAAGTGCTGAATGTTAATCCGTGTCATGCTTTATGCCTTACATGTATTAGCATTTTAAAATATGATTTCAGTCTGACTTCCTAATGTGAACTGTAGACTTTATAGAGTTCAAACATACTTAGGGAAATTCAATCACATTTTCTTTTCTTAATCACCAGTGACTTTTTTGAAGGCAAAAACTTTAGATGGAAAAAAAGAGTGGTGTTTGGCTTTAGCAATAGAAGAGAGTTCTCAGGGATTAAATTTCTTAATTGTATTCATCTGTTTCATCACCAAAGCTATAGTGTGTACAAATCCATATGATTTTAGATAAATTGTCTTAAAGCTTTTCTTTTTATAAATAATGGTTTAATTTCTACCCTAGCCCATAGACTGGTTTTCCTTTTTAAAGTGTACCTAGTGTTTGTTAAAGGCAATTTTGGGTTTTTTGGAAGCTTGCTAGTGATCTTTCCTTCTTCCCTTGTTCTTCCCTTTTAACTGTTCTTGTTCCATTTAAGAAAATTCTACCCCCCCCACCTCCAAAGTGATACAGGAAAATTGGTACCTGAAATTTACTCCCATAGACCCAGTCCTCTTCCTGAGAGTGGGGCACAGCCAGGTAGACTCAGAGCTCTTCAGCAGAGGGATGTCATGGCCCACTGAATGAGTAAGGGACCCACGTTTCTTTGGGTGGGTGCTAGTGCCGTATGTCACATCTCTTAGTAACCTTGGTGCTGTCCTGCAACACTTTGATGACTGACTTGGGTTGCTGTGCAGAGAAACGGGTTAATCAGGTATGCAGACAATAAACTAGGAGGATTAAGATTGTGTATTAGGGTGGAAAGGGAATTGATATTTCAGAAATTTGACAGACAAACAATGTTTTTCAAACTTTTTTATCTCATGGCACACTTGATAGTTAAACTTCTGTAGGACACTTAAATTATGTTGATCAAAGAAGAGTAAAGAAAATAATATACTTACTGCGCTTTGAATTTCTTTTGAAAATAGTTAATGAGGCTCAGCTCCTGTAGCTCAACCCGCTAAGGCGCCAGCCACATACACCTAAGGTGGCAGGTTCGAATCCAGACCGGACCTGGCCAAAGAACAATGATGGCTGCAACCAAAAAATAGCTGGGCGTTGTGGCGGGCACCTGTGGTCCCAGCTACTTGGGAGGCAGAGTCAGGAGACTCGCTTGAGCCCAGGAGTTGGAGGTTGCTGTGAGCTGTAATGCCACGGCACTCTACCCAGAGGGACAGCTTGAGGCTCTGTCTCAAAAAAAAAAAAAAAAAAAGAAAATAATTAATGATCTTCAAAAATTTTGGCACACCTAAGATCCTCTCTCGCTGCACACCTGTGTGCCATGGCACAGCTGTTAAAAATCACTGGATTAGAAAGAAGGGCAGATTCTAAAAATATTTAGCAGGGACAACCATAAGAAAATTTGGATCCATAACCTACCTGTTTAAGTAAATAATTTGAGCGGTGGTTATAAGAAAGAATTAGGGAATTTAGTGGACTAAATTTAGCACAATAAAATTGGTAGTATCTTAAGGCCAGGAGAAAAGTTAATGAGAGTTTATGCTACATTATTATACCTAATAATTTAGTATTAGTATCCACAGAGCAAGAATGTAGTTCATTATTGTACCTCTAGAAACTAAAACATCTAGTTTCTTGAGGTTGCTCAGTAAAGATGTTCTGATTGAATTGAGTACTCTGTAGAACAAGAGAGGTGATACTTAGGTTCTCTTTTTAGACCTTGGGATAGGAGACTCTTGCTGGAAATCTGGCAGGAGGTCAGTAGAACTTTCTGGTGGAAGATGATTCAACTTTCTCTATATAATCAAGGTGTAAGTGGACAGATTTGGAGTCAGTGTAAGGAAATTTTTTTTTTAACTTTGAAATATAGATTCAGAAGTTGCAAAAATAATATGAAGAAGCTTTTTCATAGGCACAGTTGTCCCAAGGTAAGAGCAGAACCGGCTTTGAAGATGGGGGCGATAGCTTTCTCTAAGCACTGAGTTAACTGTTGACTTTTTGGCCCTTCTGACCCTTAGATTTCTCTGATTCTTCTCTGCCATTTTCCCTACAGGCCAGTGTTCAAACCTAAAGTTTGCAACTCGTGTGCCCACAAGAGACAGTCAGATAACAACAGACCTCTGGCCTTAGGTCTGTCTTCTGTTTTCCTACTTTTCATATAGGTACCAATAGAGACAGCATTTCATTTTCTTCAGCTCGGTGTAAGAAAAGTGAACAGTGCAAACACAGTGTCCGGTGTCAGCTCATGTCTTGGCCTCTTTTGTTGGAGTCATTTGAGCTTGTTCTTGTCCTATAGAGTTATGTTTCAAATGTTGCTCAGTCTTTTTTTTTTTTTTTTCATTAGAAGCAAAATTTTGGTTTTTAGAAAAGTGTACTCTGGAGGCTCAGGTGGGCAGATTGCTTGAGTTCAGGAGTTTTGAGACCAGCCAAGTCTTAGGCAAGAGTGAGACACTGTCTCTTAAACTAGCTGGCCATTGTGGCGAGTACCTGTATTCCCAACTACTTGGGAGATTAATGCAAGAAGATAGCTTGAGCCCAAGAGTTTGAGGGTGCTGTGAACTATAACACCATGGCACTCAGCTCCAGGGTGACTGAGTGAGACTGTCTCAAAAAAAAAAAAGTGTACTTTCCTATTTTTAAAATATTGGGACTACCTAAAAAAATAAACATTGCGTAAGGCTAACAAAATGCCAATTTTTGATCTATGTCTTAAACCTAAAGTTAGCTCAAGCAAAAGAATGCTGCCACCTTTGTGTTAGAGTTTTGTGAAATCCTTGATTACAGTTAACTGAGTAATTTACTAAGCTGTCCTATGAATTGCCTCTTGATACTTTGGTATCTAGGTGAGGTCAATATGAATTATTCTAAAAAAGGAACAGTTTAAGTTATTTGAAGTTTAAGTCAGGGGTTGGCAAACTTCTTAAAGGGCCAGACAGTAAACATCTTGGGCTCTGCCCTTCATGTGGTCTCTGCCCCAGCACTCAGCTCTGCAGCTGTGGTGTGAAAACAGCTATCCTGGGCTGTGTGCCAGCAGGATCTGTTTATAAAAGGGAAGGGGCCTGTGGACCATAGTTTGCTGACACTTGGTAAATATATAAATCCAAACCATTTTTACATTACTATTTAATGAGGAGGTAATTGTGAGAATCATTTAATAGAGTAATTATTTCTTTTTAATTGAGGTGTAATACCCCTCGACAGTGTAGTACTTGAAGTGTGCTAACATTAATTGTACAGCTCAATGATTGTTGATGTGTGTGAGGTATAGAGAGCTATGAAACAAGGTCTGCATCTGGAACGTTTCCAGTAGGTTCCTTACACCCTGCTCCCAGCCTGAGCCCCCTATCAGAAGTAACCCCTGTTATGATCTGTGTCATTATTGATTAGTTTGCCTGTTCTTGGACATCATGCAAATAGAAACTTGCAAGGTGTGGAATTGTATTTTTTTACATTTTTTTTTAATTTAGAAATATTGGTAAGAAATATGTTTTATTGAATACGGTAGAAAACAAGGGACTGTTTTACTGGAATAGGAATTTATTTTTTGGTTTTATGCAAATCTCTGTAGAATTTAAACAGTGGAAGTTGTTTAAAGTGCTCTCTTTCTCAACAAAAGTGAAATACTCCTTGGGAAGGGTTTTCTCACCACACAGAGCAAAGGGAGGTTATATAGCTTGTTAGCCTCAAGTGCAGGGTGAGGGTGAAACGCTCTCTGCTAAATACAGATGTACCCTTTGGCCCAGATTTTGGTAAAACTTCTTTTACACAAATTGTAGGAAGCTCTTAATTTTTAAAAGACTATAATTCAGTCATTTCTACACATCTCTTCAAGAAGTTCACATCTTATGCCCTCTTCTTGTAAAGAAGAGAAGGAAGGGCTGGGTGCAGT